AGAGAGAGAGAGAGAGAGAGAGAGAGAGAGAGAGAGAGAGAGAGAGAGAGAGAGAGAGAGAGAGAGAGAGAGAGAGAGAATATGTTGTTATGCTAACTGGTATAAGATCAGTCATATAAACAAGACAGACTTGAGTTCATCTCTCAAGGGATTAACTGAAGCCTCAGAGCACAGAAAAAAGCATTAGGAAAAGGCAACGTTCAACTAGATTACCACTAATCTGTATTAAAACTGGAGAAGGCAGATGAGAGGGGAGAAGACAAGACGTTTTGTCCCCTAAGTAGATTTTGTGACAAGAAAGTCAAATCTGCCACACTCCTAAGGAGGTCTAGCATTGTTTGCAAAGGATGGTCAACCTCCCCCATTAAAAATATGGTTGCTATCTAGATTATCACCATAACGGGAAGGTCATACATCCAAGTCAAAGGATAAATTATTATTTTTCCTTTAGCTTTTCCTTTGCTTTACACTGAAGCCCTACCTTTCAAGTGGAGCCACGAAGTCTTGGTCCACCGTTTGCATATTTATTTCTAATAAATACAGGGCATTTTTATTGTTTTTAAATGTTTTTAGTATTTTTATTAGTAATATATATATTTTTTTCCAGCTGTAAGCCACCCAGAGTGATTGACGGAAAGAGGAAGATATAGACATTGACGGATTGAATGAATGAAATGAAATGAAATCCAAGAGGGAAGATTGAGGTGTCCCGCTCGGAAGAAACGATGGCCTGGATTTCTGAAGAATCCCCCCCCCACACATTATGTCAATATCAATCTTACTATTTAAAGTTCACTTGGAGGGTCAGAATTTTACCTGGGCGTGTCATCTTCATGGCTCCTGGCCCACTGGTAGGTTTCTGCATAGCCAGTATATTCACTGTACTGTTCAGTCCCTGAATAATAAAATAAAAAAATTGTGGTATTAAAGGGTTCATTTTCAGACGAGCAATTTACTTTATTCACTGCAGACATTCACCATGGATCCAGCTTTTCTCAATGTTCGAGGCCAGCAGTGGGGAGGAAGGAGAAGAATTATTAACTCAAATGTAACCTGGATGGGATACTAAAAAAGACAGAAGCACAGAAGACCAGAAAGATCAATTCAAAGGGAAAAGATCCGTCCTCTCTCCCCAGGAAATGTAGTATATTCTAAATCAGCGGTTCTCAACTTTGCAATTTAAAAGATGTGTGGACTTCAACTCCCAGAATTCCCTCGTCAAGAGTACCTAGAAAGAATTATTTAAATCCACACAAGATGGTTTAAGCACACTGAGTTTCTCTTCCTGGCCCCCCTCCCAGGAAATGCATTTGGGTCCTATGCATGGACTCAGCAAATTGTTTGAAAGGTGTCTTTGGAAATAATAATGATGATGATGATGATGATGATGATGATGATGATGATGATGATGATGATGATGTTGGAAGGGACCTTGGAGGTCATCGAGTCCAACCCCCTGCTCAGGCAGGAAACCCTATACCATTTCGGACAAATGGCTGTCCAGTCTCTTCTTAAAAACTTCCAGTGTTGGAGCATTCACCGCTTCTGGAGGCAGGTTGTTCCACTGGTTAATTGTTCTCACTGTCAGGAAGTTTCTCCTTAGTTCTAGGTTGCTTCTCTCCTTGATTAGTTTCCATCCGTTGCTTCTTGTCCTGCCTTCAGGCACCTTGGAGAATAGCTTGACTCCCTCTTCTTTGGGGCAGCCCCTGAGATATTGGAACATTGCTATCATGTCCCCCCTCGTCCTTCTCTTCGTTAAACTGGACATCCCCAATTCCAGCAACTGTTCCTTATATGCTTTAGCCTCCAGTCCCCTAATCATCTTTGTTGCTCTTCTCTGTACTCTTTCTAGAGTCTCAACACCTTTTTACATCATGATGACCAAAACTGGATGCAGTATTCCAAGTGTGGCCTTACCAAGGCCTTGTAAAGTGGTATTAACACTCCACCTGATCTTGATTCTATCCTTCTGTTAATGCAGAGGGATGTTCAGAAAGACATATAGGACACCTCTTTTTGAGCTGTTAAAGTAGAACAACATTTTCCCAATCTCCCCAGCTGTCATAGCCAGCTGCATAGGCTGATTCTACATAGGAAAAACACCCACTGGAAATCCACCATATTCATAAAAGGTTCACATTGTATTAATTTTCCGTGTTAGAGTTACATAAACGAAGCACTCGGATTTATTGATTTTCACATTCCGTCTGCAGCTATCAAAGCCAAAGAAACAAAACATCTCAGAGTACAATTATTTAATCTTAAGATTCTTTTGATTCATTGGTGTGTTTTCTGCATGACTGACCTCATATCTGTTAGTGGGATGATCTCAAGCAGACGCTGGTCAATTGCAACAAATCTAATTTATTTGCAATTTCTCAAGTCTCTTCTGCAAATTTCAGCAGCACGGCCCTATCCATTAAGTCACTGAGTCAAGATGCATCATTGGGAAAAAAAATGAAATCTATCAGACAGATAGCTGCACACAGCAAAAACCGGCTTAAGCAGAGAGGTGGAAGCCAGCCAAAGATCTATTGAAGATGATGAAATGGCGTTTTCCATTAAGAAAGTAGGAGACTGCATCACAGATATTAATTAGAAAGCACCAGGATAACTAATGACTTTGAAAAAACATTTTACTTTGATTTGCATCTTAGCTGCAGAAGCTTCATGTTTTTGGATGCAAGATCCAGAAATGGTTTGATTTACCCATAAGAATTTTTTATCTCTTTCCACCAAGCTTTGTAGGATCATCAGGTCTTAATATGCAAACCATGCTGACATTTAGTAAACAACTCATAAAGATCTAGTAGTTGTTCCATGGGTTAGTTATCTCAGTCTAAAATTAACTTCACTTCCCATTGGGAAAATTTTTCATACAGATTAAGGATGAAAATTATAATTATAAAATACTCTCAACTCGCACAACCATTGTCGTTTGGGTCCTGTAAAGCCTATCAATTTTACTTACGTTTAAGCAACATTTTTAAACCAATCTAAGGGCAATGGGTTCATTTATCTTATCCCTCTCCCTATTAACAGTATTTTCAAATCAATGTAAGAGCAACCACTGGTTCATTTCTCACCTCCGTTTTCCATTTTCTGTTTAACTTCTTCAAACTAATTTGCAAACCTCTTTAAAAATGGCATTTATTTTCTGATCAAATCAAAGCATCTCTATGAGGGTTATTTAGCTGTTCCTGAAAACATCTTTCTGCAAATTTCCTGCAAAAACCTCAGAGCCACGAATCCACTTAAAGTAAGTGTTAGAGTGTTTTGAAAGATTGTCATATTATTCAATCGCTCGCGTAGGGGAAAAAAAAATCCCTGTGATATACTCTATTAAAAACCACAGGGCCTTACCAAACCAGGGGAAATGACATTCCATTTTGTAAATTGATCCTCAAAATTAAATCGCCGTACGCATCAGGGACTAAAAGCTGCAAAATACTACAGGTGTCATGGTTCCGACAGATGAAACTCTTCAAAGAACTTCGAGGCAATTTTTACCTTAAAGAATCTTTATTGGAGTAGCATCGCTTCGGCACGTACATAGTTGAAGCCAAAAACTGGATTCCCCTCCCCTGAACAAACAGTATCAAAGCACCATTCCCTCCTCTAATTTACAGTCATAAATCACATTCTCCAATTAGTTTGAAATGCAGACTTCCCCTCCATTACTCCATCCCGCCATTTCTTATCATCTCCTATTTCAAAAGCCCTGAGTTCACACACTATTACAATATTGTTATGTCTAACTAACTCCCATCACATTCCTCCTCCTCCTCCAGTATCATCTAATTCAAAGAGTAAAGCATAAGAAAGCTGCATCTCCATATGTTGTCGATGTTAGGAGCATTGACAACAGGAATGGTCCCGCTTAAACATTGCAGAATTTTGTTCTTCTAAACCGAGAAACCATCCGTTTCTGTCATCATTCGGGATAAGCTATCGATTTTTGTCCAATCGATAGATAATTTCTCTTCTAGGACTCATGGATTGACTGGACGGTCTTAAAGAAGCGTTCCCAGAAATGACAGAAGGACCAGAAATTCTATGAATGACCAAGAACGCCCTCAAGACCCAAACTAAAGATGGGGGTGGGGAAAAATAAGGGAAATAACAGCATCAACATCCTCAAGGTGAACTGTGAATCTAGACAACTGCTCTTTTTAAATGTTCCTCTGATTGTGGAAAGGAAAAGCTGGTTAACTATGAAAAATATGACTAAGGAAGAGTAGAACAGAGGAAAAATAACAGGTGAGGGCCTTCGTTCTTTGCAACACAACGAAGACTAATATTTGCAGCTCAGGGTTGAAATGAGAGGTTGTTGGCGCCCTCTGAGCTTGGCTGTTTTCTTGCATAAAACTAGACTAGCACTGATGGTGTTACCTAGTTGGGTGATGAAACGTCTTCAAGCAAGCTCAGAAAGCACCAAGGAGCCCTCCAATAAAGACTATTCCAGATCTTGTTGTATCATCTCGATTCTAGAGCAGAGACAATCTTGACTCACTCTTTGTTTACCAGTGCTCTTGTGAATCAAGAGTTGAATTTTGGAATCCACAGGAATTAATCTCAAGGCAGTTACTCACCCGTGATGATCAGACACTCGTTGTGATCCAGGACCTCCGTCACGAGACGAGAGACTATCAATTCTGGATTGATTAAGAAGCGGATCTCTTCTTGCACCAATCCTGCGCCAGTGACGCCCCCTCCGACAAAGCGGTTGGCAAAGTCAACCTGACAAGACACGTCGAGCATTAAATTCTCAATATTTGGCTTCAAAAAAGCCCCAAACGAATAGGAATGCCATCTCTCATGGTTGACAGTTGTGTGGTGGATTCTGATCACACACTTTTAAGCAACTTGACTTTATTCTGTTCATCGGACAAGGCTATCTTAACGTTCATTCTGAGTTTCTTAAACTGTGCTTTTGAGCTATGCAAACATGCTTAAAAAAGCCAAAGGCTACGATACAAATGGGGCAAAAGCTGGCCTCCGAAGCGTTGCTCAAAATACCAAACGTGTCAAACCAAAATACCAAACAATTAAAAACCAATATCATCTTTTAAATATTTAGTCTGCCCTAGCAAGGCAATTTGCTTTGTTTATTCAGGATCAGAACGCCGGCAAGCTGAAACAGGACTGACAATCACAGCCCTCAGGTGGAAATGTTCTGGATTGTAGTCAAAAGTAAATTTATAAAAGTACAACAATGCATCTGGACGTATTTTTCATTCCTCGTCCCAGGGCTACAGTTCTTGAATGCTTTACGATCAACGAGCAACACAACCAAAAGCCATGTTGATGTTAATGCGTATTTAAATAATAAAAAAATATATATACATTACTGGAAAATTGTCTTATATTTCAAGCAAAACACACACACACACACAGTGGACAGTTTTCTGGGCTCAACTGGAAAATGGATCCTGCGGTTAGTACTTTTCCAACCTTAAGAGACTTAAGGCATGAAAAACAAACAGCTGAAGAAGCCCAAAGAAGCAGGAAACTGCAAAATGTTGTAACAGCATCCTGCTCCAAAGATTTGATCGATTTATGGATAGATAGGTAAATAAATAAAATTTACTAGCCACCCATCTTACCATAGGATGGGATCTGTTATTACTCAATCAACCACCCTCCATTGTGCTGTTCCCCCACTGGAGACCCAAGCTGACTGCCACAGTGATGTTTTTAGGCCCTTAGGAAAAAATAGGAGGGTTGGGGCCAATCTCTCATGGGGGGGGATGTTCCAGAGGGCAGGACCCACAGCAAGGAAGGCCTTCCTCCTGGATCCCGCCAGCCAGAATACTTGGGCTGACGGGACCTGCAGCATGCCTCCTCTGTTGGCAAATTGGCACGGGCCAATCCCAGCGAGGCGAGACGGTCCCTCACATAGCCTGGATCCATGCCATGAAGGCCTTTAAAGATCTTCCCTCCTCCCTTTAGCCATTCCTGAACAGCATAGCCATCAACAGCAAGGACACGATCTACTGATTAACTACATTTATTTTGTACACCGTAGCAATATCCAAAGACGCTAATCAAACTGAAAACCCATAAAAAAAATGTTGTTTTGAGCACAAAAGGCTGGCCCTTTTCTGAGACGCTCTTAATCAAATTTATGATCATGTGCCACTGAAGCAATTTAGTTAAGTGGCCTCTAAAAACTGGCACCAAGCTAGTTTCTGGCACTATATTAACAATACGTTTACGCATATTCTCCAATTTGGAGAAACTAGTGTATTTTCACGAGGCTGCATACGAGACAAATGTCCTCGCTCTTCTAAGCCATTAATTTCAGTTACTCCTCTTTGACTCCGGAATAGGTGATGCACAATCTTCTTAATCGCACGACTGTTGTCTCTTGAGAAAGAAACAAACAGAACTCTCGGTGGTGCTTTTACAGATGGAGAATTTTGAACTTCATCCAAAGTTTATTTAATTGGCGTTGTTTGTGGTTCATGACTTACATTTACAGCCTGCCTTTTTCTCAGGATTCACGATGTTTGTCGTGAAAAAGCTCCTACGCTATCCCCATAACAATAATCCCACGAGACTTGCTTAGACTGATGTTCCTCAGCCTTGGCATCTCTGCCAAGTGTGGACTTCAGATCCCAGAATTCAGAAGTCCGCGTATTTTTAAGTTGCCAAGGTTGAGAAACGATAGTATACATCAGTGGTTCTCAACCTTTTTAATGCCGCAACCCCAACCTGTCGTAAGTCGAGGACTAAACCGGTCGTAAGTCGAGGACTAAACCGGTCGTAAGTCGAGGACTACCCAACCGGTCGTAAGTCGAGGACTTTCCCTGCCCGGGAGCGCCGCGCATGCGTGGTTCCGCCCCCTGCGCCGGCCGAGGCGTAGCTGGCAAGCGGCAGAGACGGAGCAGGCCGACCACCAGCTGGCCCAGCTCAAGGGAGGTAAGGCACCCGCCGGAAAAGGGGAAATAAATGGCGGACAGCCTTGCTTGGCGACCCCTGTGAAATGGTCGATCGACCCCAAATGGGGTCGCGACCCATAGGTTGAGAACCGCTGGTATACATCAAGATAAAGTGGCTGGTCTGTAGTGAGTTTTTAGGGTTGAACCTCGATTTATCCAGTCTTTAAGTTCAGCATCTTCACCACTCACTGACTTTGCTCTGAATGGGATTGATCATGCCCAACTGTTTAAGGACAATAAAAGGATACACTTGTTTATTTGGGTTTGAGGTAGAAGACAACAAACAACAGGTGTAGACACACACTTCAAAATTCTTCTCTCTCTGGCTTGCAAATATGCAAACAATGCCTCAGGATTACGGACGAGACAAGACTCCTTATCAAACTGTTCTGGCTGACTGGTTTTCAGGTCAAAATGATTCCTCCCGTAGCAGATGAATCTCCCTAAACTTGCTGAGCTGGTCACCAGACAGGGCACAGCAATGCCGCTCTCAATTTTAATTTTAATTTTGTTTGAAAAGGGGGAAAATTGAAAAACGGGCAGCCTGTCAGTCCCCTACTCTGGACCCCCTTCCTCTAACATTTGTCAGTCTTCGCCTGACCTGAAAAAACAAAAAAACAAAAACAAGCTCCATCCAGGTCTTCTGACTGTCAATCAAAAGGCCTTTTCAAGATGGGAAGCTGAGCCAACAGAGAATGCTAATGTTGCGATGGGATGTGTGATAGCTTCGACGCAACCCAGCACAGAACTGACGGGTAGAGGTGTGGATTCTATGCTTACCTGGAGCATCCCTTGCCCGTTGCTCTCAATCGTCCCTTCATAGGTGACATGCAACCTGGGCATTTTTTTCTGAGATCTGTAAAAAAGAAGCATACCAAAGCAACACGGTTGTGGGTGGGTTTTTTTTGAGGGGGGGGAAGTCCTCATTTTAATATGCTCTGCATCCATTAATAAAGCAGTTGCCACTTCTTTTGAAGAAAGTTCAAAAACAGCAGGACACTCTGTACAGGTGTCAACGCCGCTAACATCGGATGTTTCTGCATTGAACAACAGATGGAGACGTGGCCATTTTCTTCCTTTCGCTTTTAGAGTTAGATGATGCTGGGAGGAGGGTGTGTGTGAACAAGAGTCCAGCTCGAGACATAACAACACTGAGCCTAGCGTGAGAATCAAGGTTGTTGAAATCAGAGATGATAAAAGAATTGGCGGGCTGGTGAGCTGGAGAGGAAGCCCGCGCTTCAAGCTAATTGGGGAATGTGATTTATGACCGTTAATTGGAGGAGGGAATTGTGCTTTGATACTATGTGCCCAAGGATGGGGGGGAGGGAGAAATTCAGTTTTGAGCTTCGAATATGTAAGGGCCGATATTATGCTACTCGAATAAAAGGTTCTTTAAAGTAAACAACGCCTCGAGGTTCTTTTGAAGAGTTTCATCTTATTATTCATTATTCAGGAAAATCTGTTTCCTTTTACAGTATGTGTTTTTGTTCCTGGCTGGTAACAAGCCAGGTTTCAAAATGTTGCTACTTTGCTTACCAATTAGGCAACAAGGTGTTAGTTTTAACTTGTGACAGTGGCCATTGCTATGTGTTGAAATCCATTCTCTCTGTTTCAATTTGCATTTTGAATTCAACAACTATCTTACTCTCGGCTGAGTTTTCACCGCAACGAATTGAAATCAATATAATTTTTTTAAAAAAGGATAGATTTGGTTTGACTTACCTTTCCCACTCTGGAAATTCCTGCAGACACTGTCTGGTAAACGTCACAAGTCCAGTGGGTTCTTATAAGCAAAACAGACCAAAACAGATAAAATATTAGTAAGTTAAAAAAAAAAAATCTTACGGGACACAAGTCAGACAAGCCTATGCTTCTAAGCTAGAAATATAAGATATTTTGGGGGAAAGAGAAGGAAGTTTGACAGCTAGAAAGAATTCATTTCCTTCGGCAAAGGGTCTTATTTTGTGCAGCCACTATTTATTTATTAAATTTATATGCTGCCCATCAGACTATCAAGTGACTCTGGGTGGCTTGCGATGTCAGGACAAGAAGCAACGGATGGAAACTAACCAAGGAGAGAAGCAACCTAGAA